CATTTATTTGTGAAGTGTCACTTTTATCATATTGCTACTGAAAATCCAAATATTATTAATCCAGCATAGCAACCTTCATACAATTGGGACTGAATATGTTCTTGGCAGCATAGTCCCAACAAATCTAGAAAGCACCAAATGAGGGAAGCCTGTACACTTGCAACTCACATTTTTGTGGGGCACAATGGATGCAAACACAGGTACACCCACATCCATTACCTGCTCTATCATTGACTTAAAAATTTTCTTCCTTTCTAATACCATTCTTAGGTTTCATATTGGAATGCAGAATAATGCTTTTGTATCTGAGTAGCAGTTGTAGAAAGAGCTCTAATCATTCAACTTCTTTAGAACATCACATGCTCACATGTCTACAGGGGCTAGTTTCTCTGCAGGCAGATGGAGATGACGGAGCATCTCTCTCCTGTTTTCACTGTGAACACACAAAGATGCATATCAAGGATTTTTACAGAAACCAGCTCTTCCAATCACCTCTGTCGGAGCCCAAATGCTGCAGCAGAGTGAGTCAATGCTGAGTAAAAGTACCCTAACATCCTTATTTGCCCAAATACTGTCCCAGAGTTCAAAGCACCTATTTAACCAGGACACAGCTAAAGGACTATGCCTGCAGTGAATGCAGCTGTGCCACTTGAGCTCAACATGTGGCTGCATCCTAGGTCAAGTACATGAAGCATGTATTTGAATAGATCACACATCTTTGTATAAAGGCAAATCTTGTTGCTACATTTATGGGAGAAGTAATACTGTGGAACACCGCAGAGAAACAATTATTGATTGCATGCCACAATTCATAATGTGCATAATACAATACCTATGTGCTTTCAGATATAAGTACCTGGCATGGTGATTCACAGCAAAGTGCAAAAAAGTGTGGCTCCTTTTTGCTTCCTTAGAAAAGTATATGTGGAAAAATGGGAAGGCAGAAGAAGGATTAGTTTCCAAGAGAGGCCTTAAGCGGCATTCACAGTGGGCAACGAAGCACTTAGCGCTGAGTTCCCATCATGAGCCTTGCTGAAAATTGCAGGTGTTCAGAACTATACCTGATGTTTGGGGATCATAAGTAGCTATATTAAAGCCATGTGCTTATTAGTATTGCTATTATCAAGCACTGTGCAGGATTTCATCAGACATTGGCTTAACTTCAGCATGGGGCTCTGAGGTTCAATCCACAGCAGGTGTGAGGAAGCTTCATGGATTTGTAATTCGTAAGTGGGTGAGCTTAAAGAGGAAACAGCAAGGGCTGGAGGTGTTTTGCTGAAGTGAGAACAAAGGAGCAAACTGTGTACAGTCCAAAACAAAGGGCACAGTGTTCTGGATTAATCTCTGTTGTTTTACTTGCTATGATCAAGGGAGAACAGAGAAGTCAGAAAGTTGTCATTTCTATTTACTTTCATACTGATGGAGTGAGGAGAGAGCAAAGAAGAGCAAAGAAAAGCAAGAGACAATAGTCACTTGACTGCCTTACAGCAGTGTTTCTCAACCCCAACAACTTTAAGATGTGTGGACTTCAACTCCCAGAATTCCCCAGCCAGCAAGCTGGCTGAGGAATTCTGGAAGTTGAAGTCCACACATCTTAAAATTGCTGAGGTTGAGAAACACTGCCTTACAGGATTGTTTCCCAAAAATCAAAATAACAGATGAGCATCCTTTTGATGGTAGAGGTCTGCAATCTGCAAAGCTGAGATGGTAATACAAAATGCCCCCTCCCTAGCAATTCTGATTCTGCCCAGAGCTCCCAGTAGAGCTTGTAGATCTGGACTGCAAAAACCCACACAACCATTAGAAGACAGGCCAGATTTGGTGGTTTTCACATGGGTAGGATCAGCATTACCTGAAAGGAGGGAGGGACGTTTGGCAGGGAACAGCTCTTTTTATATGAAATTTGTTATGTCTGATTTATGTCCATTTTTGAGGTATTTTTTTCATTTATTTTTATAGCTTGAGAGTCTCTGAATGTTACCCTAATCATGCTTATCTATTAGATTGTAAATGGCAAGGAGATTTATGTGGCTTATTCCTTTTTCTCTGTAGTTCCTTTGTAGAAAATGCTTGTGCATACATGGCTGAGTACAGCTTTCACAACCACAGAAGTGCACTCAACTCTACAGTTCACACCTCCCCTTGAATTTCTCAAGTGGCTTAACTCAAGAATGTTATCTCTTTCTTTTAGAAGTGCTTTGCCAAGGCCAGTCACTTAACAGGGAGACCGAGATAGAGGAATTGGTACTATCTCACATCAACTTTTGATAACTATTGGGCAAGGAGGATGAACAATGAACATACATCATTAGAAAGATGAATAACTGCAGGAGGATATTATATAAGCTTTCAGAAACCTACTTGGGGTGAGCCTCAGTATAGGTCTACCCAGGAAATTTTTTATAAACTAGCTGGATTAAACTGGGGAACATCCTTTACTGCTTTTGATGAAGAGGGACTGCCATCTATCAAAGGAATATGAAATTCCATCTTGTATTTACACTCCTCTGTTGCATTTTGCCATGCCTTGTTCTATTGCCTTGTCTGTAGATACTTCCTATCTACATTATATTTTGCAGTTAAAATTATTCTTTTTCTGTGCTATGCTTAATAAATCCTTTCAACTTTCACCTCATTTGTGTGTTTATTGCATCTGAATCCATGCATGTCCTGCCCAGATTTCAGCATAGAACACTCTGTAGGAATTGGTTTTCCACCAAGTCCTTCACAGTTATCTTGGGAAATGTTTAAACAACATAAGTGGGGACAATTCTGTGGGGAAAAGAAGCCATAGCATCCTGTCCACATAAGGCACTGATTGAAAAGAGGCTATAAGATAACTAAGATGCAATTTAAACTCTTTGAAACCCAATATAGCTGTTTTTAAATTGGGTTTTAAAATTAATTTAAAATTTAAAATTAATTTAAAATTAATTTAAAATTAAATTTAAAATTAATTTAAATTTTAAATTAAACTTAAATTGAAGTTGAACCAAAGAATCCCAGTTCCTTTGGGGAAAATCTTTTGTTTTATGCAGTGTGTCCACAACAAACTATGATGATGACAAAACGATGACATGTGGACAAGTGATACCATCACAAGATGCCAAGTGTACATTTACTTGTGCTCTAACAACTGATGCAAGTATGTAAGTTGCAACATTTGTGTGATGAAGTAGTCACACTCATCATTTGCCCACCATCACTCGTTCCTGTAGAAGCACAGGCTTTCATGACTAATTCCTGACACTATTATGAATCTGAAAGGGTTATTTCTCTTCCCCAAAAGATGAATCAAGAATGCAGAACCACTGTTCCTCTTTTTAGAATAAATTACATCAAAGGATTTAGAAAACTAGGTAAAGGTTTCTTACTAGAAAAGGTTTATAGCTATCCTTCTGAATTTCCAACATTAGCTAATATAATGTTTCAGCAAGTAGCACCTGTGTTTTACAGCTGGGTTCCTCAACCTTGGCGACTTGAAGATGTGTGGACTTCAACTCCCAGAATTCGTTCCTCAACCTTGGCGACTTGAAGATGTGTGGACTTCAACTCCCAGAATTCGTTCCTCAACCTTGGCGACTTGAAGATGTGTGGACTTCAACTCCCAGAATTCGTTCCTCAACCTTGGCGACTTGAAGATGTGTGGACTTCAACTCCCAGAATTCCCCAGCCAGCCAAGGACCCTGTTTTACAGAATTTTTATTGCCACTTTGCCCTTAAAATGCAAACAGTTTTTTCACCTGGCTTTACAGCAGCCAGTTTCACCTCGAAAATGTTTCCTTATTCAAAATAGTATCTCACAGTAATAAAAATAAATTATATGTCATACTTTAACATTTTTGTGTCTGCCTAGATTATACATGCTTCCAAGGTCGATCTGACAAGATATTCATATCATTCTAATCAGTTTGTGGGCATACTTTACAGAAAAGAATAAAACAGGTCCCATGAGATACAATCTAAAATTTTTATAGAAGAGAATCAATAGAGAAAGGGAAGGAGACTGAAGAGAATGTGCATCATAATGGTTTCCAACATACATGTTTGGGTTGAAGAAAGTCAAGTGGTGGTGACTAATAAGAGAATACTGAACTGTCTTTGAAGGTCCATTTGTGATAAGTCTGGGATGGTAATAGAAGTGTTGTGATAAATATTTCTGAATATTGTGAAGGGAAGCCTTCAGGTTTATAAATATTTTGTCTACCCCTTTCTAATACACACATAAATTTAACCAGCTCATAGTTCACTTATATATTTTAAATCTATAAAGCAAAAATATGTGCTTACGATTTCTTGATTCCTAAGAGAGAAATAAACTATGTGAAGTGATAGTGAGCACCTCACTGAGTGAGATCAAGATCCATCATTGTATGGAGTCCCAGAAACCAGTAATCTGGCACTCTATTGGATTTTTGTCAATATTCTACCATCTAATTTCTACTTACCATCTATCTGAACCATGCTTTACTGATAGCATTCACACATAAGAGTAAAGCATAATGCAATTTGATTTTTTTGGCACAGTGCAACCTGTAGACCCAGACATTTGGTACAACTTAGCATTATGAATTTTTTATGGTTTAATGTTATGTATGGATCAGTTGTGTGTGTGTGTGTGTGTGTGTGTAAATGAATCATGTCTAAAATAATGGTACAGCATGAGTTAATAATCCAACCACTGATTGAAACATAACCATTGAGATTGTCAAACTCTTTTCCAAATTTGTTGCAGTTAACAACCCATTCTGCTCTCTGTTATTATAGCCATGGAACCAGTTGGTTCCAGTATTATAAAATTATGACTGACTGGTTTAACACAATCTTTTCGATGCATTTCTCCAACAATATATTGTAGGTAGCATGCGACAGAGAAATAGAAGCTTGAATTTTTAATTTGCGTGAACATTTAGCAAGGGCATGCCCTTCATCTGTTAGACAAATCTCTCCCTCCCGCCCCACCTTTTTTAAATAACTGTCAGATTGCAATCATTTCTTACCTTGATGTTGGCACATGCTGGTAAGTCATTATTAGTAGGTATTTCATTGTTGGCATTCTCAGAGTCATATGTCTTTGATCTGTATGCTGTGGTAGTTAAAGCTGTAGTAGTTTGCACAGGTAGGAATGGTTGCCACACATTCACATCTGTACCATTGCCAAAAGCCTGAATTGCATTTTCTGTAGAAAAAAAATTGCACAGCAATTTCCTAAATAAGCAAATAGCAGACTTTTTCTTTTTTTCTATCTTTCCCCCCTTAACTTCTACATATTAAAGCAAATAGAAATAATTCTAAAAAAACAAACTCTGCAAAGAGCAGATAAACAGAAAAACCCTTTCAGATTAACAGGAATGAAAGAACTACTATTTATATAGTTTCTGAGATTATTTCCAGCTACACAAAAAGCTATGATGCTTTTGATTGTAATGCCCATCTCCTTTCTAAACTAACCTGTTTATAACTATGCGATTATAAGTTATAATTAACAACTGTTCATTTGTAGCAATGATGTTACTGGGACAGGGCTATGGGACAGAAAATCCCACTCAGCAAAATAAGCAGGAGGAACCCTAAATGCAATTCAGTACATTTTTAAAAAAATTAAATAATACATATCATATAAAGTGTGCTTGCCCCTTAATTCAGAGAATAAAATTACCTAATTCTATTAACTCTAAGTTGCAAACCAAGATCACAGTAATACAGGCCCCCAAGACAAGCTTGGGCAGCTGTAAATCCATAGTAACAGTATCATAAAAAAACTATTCCAGGTATTTTACAAGCAAACAAGATCACCAGTTCAATGTTGTATGTTCGTAAGTACAGGATATCATCAGTATGCGGATGATACTCAATTATACATCTCTGTGCCAGGTGAATTAAGTAATGCTGTGGGTGTTCTTTTGCAGTGCCTGAAGACTGTGGGGGTCTGGATGGGGAACAACAGGCTTCAACTGAACCCTGGTAAGATGGAGTGGCTGTGGGTTGGGGGCTTTTCCAAATCTGGGGTTTTACAATCTTTGTTTCTAGATGGGGTTGTACTGCTGCACTTAC